CACAATCGCACTTGTGACCTTGTATTTTGTATGTACCCCTCTCCTCTCTCCGCTCTTCTCTTCTCTTCCTCACCCGCAGTTCCACCATGCCGCACCCCGCCGGAATATCCCTTGCTCTACCCCTTGGCCCCTCCGCCGCGCTGGCGTCACGTGTGACGCGGATAGGAGAAAGGGAATGGGAAGGGGAGTAGGAAAGAGAAGGAGGAGGTGAAAGGGGGAGGAAGGGTGGTTTAAACGGGTGAACACGTCGCAGCTAAGGTCGCGGCGGACGTTACTAGGTCACTGGAGTGACCGCGATGCATCGCACCCATCCTCCCGCTCTCTGCTCCTCTACTCCCGGTGTCCTTCCTTTGACGTTGCCTTCGTTTGGGATCTCTTTGGGTCAAAGGGCGGGAGGCGCGAAAGGAGCGGCTCTCCGTTGCAGGTAACGCGGCGGCTTCTTTTCTCCCTTCCCCCTTTCTCACCTCTTTCCTCGTTTCTTCTTTGCCTGTTAACGAGTGTTCCTTACGATATCGCACGGTTTGTTTGAAATTTTTATTCTTCGAGTTGTATCAAAGATCCGTGATAGAGAGAAGAAGATCTCTCTCTCTCTCTCTCGCTCTCTCTGTTCTCTTGTTGCTTCAAGTATCTCAGGGGGAAATTCCGCGCGGCGAGAACGAAAAGTCTCATCGGGAGCGAGAGTGAAAATCGCTCGTCGGCACGAAGGTTGTGCGCTGCGAGAATTTCCCGCGAGAGAGTAACGCATCGCGTTCGCGGTGTTTTGCGAAATTCCACGGCCGCCGAGTTTCCGAGATGACCGTCGGATCCTGGATCGGTTCGCGAGCGGCGATCCTACAAAAATCGCCAACGTCGGAGTGTTCTTCTGTTTCTTTCCTCTCCTCGCAAACGTCGGAGGCGCGTAATCTCCTGCGGGTCGAGAGCTCGAGTTCCCGCGGAGCGCTCGTCTCTTCGGCAAACCGGTTCCGGCGATTTCAGTCGCCGGCGAAAAACCGGACCCCGAGGGGCATGCGCGCGCGCGCGCCTGCCAGTCTCGTTCGAAAATGTGCGGTCGGAATCAGCATAGAATACGACGAATAAACAATTGCGGACACAACTGCAAATGCCTTCGTCCTCTCGCCCCCCCCCCCCCGCCCGCCCGGCTGGCGACCGTTTCGTCGTCCACTCTCTCCCCTTCTTCGCGTTTTCCGAGGCGAAAAATTACGAAAAAAATACTGAATCTCAAAGCGACCAACGTACCACATCTATCACGTCTGTCACGTGACGAGACTTCTCTTTCTCTTTGTGGAATTTTGCGGTGAACGTCCGTTCTCGCGCGGTAACGTTCGCGCGGTATTTCGCCGACGTTTGAGTGAAACGAGAAAGGTTCGACGTATTTAAACACACTTTTTCATATAGACGCGTGTCAGCATACCTGGAGGAGATTAAAGCTGAACGCGCGACGCGACGAGGAACGCTGATTCGGCAGTCGACGCGCCTTCGCGAGGACACGGTAGTTCGTCGATTAATCGCGACAGGAACTCGCTCAGCGGTCGTACCTTCTTGCCGAAGGATTCGGCGAGAATCCTAGCGTATATTGTAACAGAGGTGGCAGAAACTCAGTTTCATCCCGGACGAGTCACGGTGAGCGAGGTTCGGTCGCGAATAGCGAGTGCTTCTCGTCGACCGACATCGCAATGCGACCGACAATACTCATCGATGATAATCATTGATCAATCACTGATCTCTTCAAGAATCTTCAAATCCAAGGTGAAGGCGAAGCCAAGGCGGCGGAGACGCGCAGGCCGTCTCGTATGCTGATATACACGGTGGCCGGAAACGAAGAGCCGCGCAATTTCGGTTTCGCCTTGCGTGCCGACGGGATAGACGACGAGAGAAAGTCGTCGGGAAGACTGGGAAAGTGAAACGCTCTTTGCTTTTACTCGACGCGCAGCTGTAGTCCGTGAAACTGCGAGACGACGAACGTTCCCTTCGAGACAGCTGAGAAACGGAACAGGTCAAAGTATCAGCAGCTGAAAAATCTGAAAGAGGCTTCGAGATGTTCGTTGAGGGGGAAACACTGGATGGATTTTTCGTACAACCTTTCGGTATAACTCGCACTTCTTTCTTTCTCTCGTTCTGCAGAGTTGCAAATGTTTTTGCAACAGTGAAAGTATAAATGCCAGTCGGTTGGGAATACTTCATCTTGTAGCAAAAACAAGTTTTTTGCAAATGTTTCTCTTCGTCATTCAGCGTCCCCTCAAAGAAAAGAAAAAAAAAAAGAACAAAAAAAAGAGCTGAGGGATCCACGACGAAATTTCGAGATCCGGCCGAAATGAAGAGCGAAGTGTGCTATCGACAATTGTTATTATTGTCATTATCGTTCGAGGAAATTCGAACGGATGCGCACTCGCGATCGCACGTATCGTGCAAAAATATGTACACATGTATGTGCGCACGCGTGTTATCGCGCGTCGGGGCAGACGTTTTTATTTTACTGAGCTTGATGGACTGAAAGCATTACTTTTATTTCCTTCTAAAGTTTCATTTTACTTACAAGGTATTTGGTTTGCTCCATGCATCACTCTGACATGCAGTTGTTCATTAGGTATATAAATTATGGTAATGATTCGGTATTATATATATAATAATTATATATAATTATATAATAATTATTTATTATTATTATTATTATTATTAATATTATCATTATGTCCACAGTATCCCGCCTTTGTTTTTCTTTTTCCTTTTTTTTTTCGCTATTCACGGAGTCGTTTGCTTTCTTCTTCCCCTCCCTCCCCCACCCTCGCAAATATAATTCCCCCTTCTCTCTCCCTTTCTGTTTGTTTGCAACGATGTGATCGTCTTTATCCAAGGAATGATTCGTTAACTCCGCCGTGTGTGTGCAGACGTCGCTAAAACTGATCAAGCGGGATCGATATGTACGGGGATAACGGGAAGTGTGTGTGTATGTGTATGTGTGTGTGTGTATATATATGTATCGTGTTATTCGCGTCTGAACGTAATCCACGATCCTGTCGTTCAAAGACAACTCTTCGGGGTTGCGACAGGGGATCTTGAGAGGATACTCCGCTGCGTATCTACCCAAAAGTACAAGAAAATCCAAAAACTTAAAAATACGGGAAATTCGGCGCGATTTCGCAGGTTCCTTTCCTTTTCGCAGGAATTCCCGGGTACCGCAGGGAAGCCGCTGAGATTTCGCAGGCGCCGAGTAATGGACGAGGAACGAGAATACTAAGGTGTGAAATCCCACGTGTCGGCGAATCGCTCAGCCTCGCGAGGAGAAGGATCACGTGTTGGATATATCGGCAGCTTAAGCATAGCGCGTGTCAAAAGTTCGCACTCTGTATGCACGATCCGGACAGGCTGAAAGTAAGAGGCGACCATTGTTCCTTATCGTCTGTATATTCGACGCGCGAGCTACGTTTGCGTGGCGAAGTCGCCAAGTTTGCGTATCCTATCGGTCGAGGATTAAACTGGTAAACATTTCACACTGTCCCATGCTCGCTTTGCGGTCCAAGTGTTATCATCTACCGTGACGAAATCGGGTTTTGGGAGAAGCGCAGGATGAAAGAAACGGAAGAAAGGGGAGAAGGACGACGAGAGGCGAAGGAGAGGAGATCGCGACACAAGCTCGGAAAGTCCGCAACCTTTCGCTGCGCTTTCGAAGCCACGGAGAAACACTCTGAACGTGGCGAACGTTATTTTTTGTCTTTTTCTTTCTTCCCGTCGGTTTTCTTCCTTCTTTTCCTTTTTTTTCGCTCGAAACGTCTGTGTGTCGCGATTTTGTATGTGGATACGATGGATCGGAGGTACAGAAAAGAAAGATGGACGTGTAACAAAGTTTTGCATCACCTTCTTATTTTTCTTTTTTTTTCCTTTTTTTTTTGTATAAAATGGCAGATGGTTGCAGAGCGGCGATAGAGGAACTGTGGAAGAAGGGAGGATCCGAATGTTCGCGGGATCTCCGTTTTCCACGCCGATCCAACACACCGTGATGAGCGGTTTCGGCAAACCGTGGACTCGCGCAATTTTCGAGATTCCGCGTGCGCGTGCGCGCGAATTTCCCCCCACCATTCTCGAGGAGCCGATTCACAGCGACTCTACGATCGCAAGTCCGAAAGTTCGCCGTCTCTCGGGGGGATTCCGAGGGAAGCCGAAGAGACCTCCCGACAGCTCCTGCTGCGATTCGTGCGACCCGAAACTCGAATTATCAAGTATCTCTCGAGAAAAGCTATATTAGACACTTTTCAAGTGTGTCACTAATTGAAAAAAAGAGGGAAAGATTCCTCAATTTGTCAAGTTCCGGGGATGCGAAAGGTTCATATTACTACGTTCGTGAAAGAGATCCTTTATTTCTAACAATGTTGAATCCACTTCCACGTTTCCTCGTCTATGCCAGCACACTTTGTACAAGAGATCCATAGTCAAGGTAGTGCAAAACTCTGGTTCGACAGTGCGAGTGTGTTCAACGCGCACGGGAGAGATTATTCGCTCAATAACAAGCACGAGAATCCGGCTGTGTTGTTATTGCATTTTTACATCTATGACGCTCACGACGAAATGCAGGGGATCGTCGGTCACTCGATAAAAGTCATTAGTGGGATGATGGGAGCGTAAAAAGAAATGAGACATACCGTGAGACGAAAGAGAGAGAGAGAGAGAGAGAGAGAGAGAGAGAGAGAGAGAGAGAGAGAGAGAGAGAGAGAGAGAGGGTGGGGAGGAAGGGAGACAGAGAGGAGGAGGAGGAGGAGAGAAGGCAGAGGAGAGAGAGAGAGAGAGAAAGAAGAGAGAGGGGGAGGGGAGAGAGAGAATTAGAGGTTCTAATGCTCCCTTTCTTCTCGTCCTCACAAGAGCCGAGGATGAAGCGAGCGCCCGTGCTCCGGTCCAAGCATCGCGCGATTGTAATCCACCCATCCAACCAACCAACCAACCAACCAACCAACCAACCAACCAACCACCCACCCACCCACCCAACTAACCAACCAACCAACCCATCCATCCATCCACTCATCCAACCATCCATCCTTTCATCTGTCTGTCTATGAATTCACCTATCCACTCACTCGTCGTTCATCCACTCATCTATCCATTCTCACGCATCCGTTCCGTCCGTTCGTCTGTCGTCCGTTCATTCGCTCATCTGTTCATCCACTCACCCGCCTCATCCAGTCAATCAGCCAGCCAGCCAGCTATTCATCCGCGTCTCTTCTCGTCCACAAACATCCATTGGAATATTCATTCGTCCGTACGCTCACAGATTCATACGTCCGCGTTCATCCTTCACCCATTCATCCGTCCGTCCGTCCGTCCGTTTATCCGTCCATCCGTCCGTTTGTTTGTTTGTTTGTTCCTTCCGTCTGTGCCTTCGTTCGTTCATCCGTCTAAGTGTGTCCGTTCGTTCGTTCGTTTGTTCGTTCTTGCGTGCGTGCGTGCGTGCGTGCATGCGTACGTACGTGCGAGCGTGCGTTCGTTCGTTCGTTCGTTCGTTTGTTCGTCCATCAGTCTGTCCGTCCGTCCGTCCGTCCGTCCGTTTGTCTGTCTGTCCGTACGTCAGTCCTGATTCAAAATCGACGACGCGCCGCGATGATCGACAGACTTCGGGCGGGCACAAAAGTGCTGACGCTGTTGCTCGTTGCGAGCCGATCGGGTCACTTCTTGCTCTTCTTGGAGGGAGGCTCCTGCGCGTCCTGCGAGTCCTCCTCGGTATCTTCACTATCGGTCGGTCGCGGCGTGTTGTTGCTGTCGTCATCGTTGGTGATTAGGGAGTCGTTGGTGTCCTCGCTGGCGACCACGGCGTCGCTGGCGGTGATCGGTGTCGCCGGCTTGTCCATCGAGTCCTCGGTGAAGGACGTCGTGGTGCTGTTCTCATCGATCGCTGCAGGATCGAGCATACCCGCGACCGCGGCCGGCGTCTCCTTACCATTCGCCATCATCGTTTCCTGATTGCTGTCGTCCGACGGCTCCGTCGCCTCGCCGTTACTGGGGCCGTGCGAGTTGCCGTTCTCCGTCGAGCCCGGGATGCCGTCTAACAACTCTGACTTGAGCTCTGATGCTACGTAGTGCGTCCATAACGCCAGCTCGACTCTGTGTGGGCTCCATGTTTTACCGTTTGACGCTGGAGCACAGCAAAATGTTTTTCAAACTTTCGAGATGCATCCTAAATACATACCTCCGACTGTGTGTGTGTGTGTGTGTGTCTTAAGCGCTAATTTGTCACGCGAATGTCATCTTTTTCCTTATTTTAATCATTATTCTCTTCGGGAACCTGAGATATATTATGGAAGCGACTCGCGAGACACGGACGCGTGTGCAAGTGAATCTGAGGAAAAAGACGAAAGAACAATAAAAAGCAATCGACCGATCCGACAGGATAAGGAAAAGATGTCGCGGCGGCTCAAGGACTCGACGCGATGGCAGAAGATAGATGAAGGTGACCCGAGGATTCAACGTGGTGGTTATGGGACGCGAGTCGATGATACGTCCCGTTTTGGACTGAAGGGTGTTGCGGGGTGTACCGACAACGAGGGTGCATTGATCAAGCGGGGCTCGTTAGGACTCGTAATCTCGCTTACTTTGTTTGTTCAGCCTCTCGACGGTGTTCTGAATGTGCTGAACGAAGTTGAGGTATTCCTTAGTAGTGTAATCGATACCCTCAATCTCCGGTATCGCCATCAGGCACTCGTCCGCCATAAAGGGCGCGTTCTCCGGCGACGCCGCGGCGAGCAAGGCCGACGCCATCGTGGTACCGACACCCTTCAGATTCGAGAGCGCCGTGATCGCCTGCTCGAGATTCGGAAGCTTCTTGAACGCTTTCTTCGTCTCCGCCATTACGGCACGCGGGGTGTTCACTTTCACCAGATACGACAGCTGTGGGTAGAACTTCCCGCGCTGGAACAAAATGGCGGTCAGCCTCCGCGGAATCCGCGATTGGATTCTTCTGCATCGATCCTCGCGAGGCTAACGACGCTTCGGCCTTGTCGTTGTCGCTCGCAAGGATCGTCAGCGACAGACGGAAGAAGCGGACGCTCCGCCGAGCCCAGACACTACGGGCTCTACGTGACTTTTGTGTCATCAAGTCGCGCGTGTGAGCAGTTTGATGTACATATGAGAAACACTACATTAACTAACGATACTTTCATTCTTCGTCCCAACGGAAGTCGTGTTTTACTTTAACTCTTGGCAGAAACTTACATCCTCTCGTTTATAGCCACACAATTCCAGTTTCCTTTCAATTGCACGCATCAATTAAAAACGCGAGAAGCTGAAGGAAAGCTGCATTCCTGTGTGACACACTTTCGGATGAAGCAAGTTCCCCCTTCATCAGCTTGCCGAATGTGACCAATTGTAAGAAAAGAAACGAGCTCGAGCCCAGCCTCATATCATCGTTAACATCGATCTGCTTCGCGCCAGCTTGTGGAAGCCGCCTGACTCGGGCTTGGCAGAAGCCGCCATGCGGGTGATACTCGCCTAAGCGCACCACCGAGAACGGACGGAACGGAAAGGAAAGGAAAGAGGGGACTTACTATTTGTTTCCATTTCATCGTCTGCACTAGCTCCTCGTGATTGAGATGCGCGTCCTTGCCGCGTGACTTGATCTTCTTCGGAAGCTCATTCTGGTACCTGCGGGCACAAACAACAAGATGTAGACGATCAAGATCGATCCAACGCATGCACGCACGGCAGAGGGGTGAGGAACACATCCACATCCACACCTACACACACACACACACACACGCATACACCTACAAGTGTGTATTCGAGGCGGGCGTTGACGTAACCACGCTACCATCGCTGGTCGCCACTGCCGCCGCCGCCGCCGCCACTGCGGAATACAGGAGAGAATTCGTTAAAAGGCCCATTAAAAATACAAACGTTGCCGCAAGGAACCGACACGCCCCTCGTCCGCGATTGGAGGATGCCCGTCTTTATCGCGCACGTGGATCACACGTGGCGCGACGTTGCTTTAACACCGTCGATCCCCACGCCGATTGCAGCGTCGATTCGTGAGACAGGGTATTCGTCGAGTCGCGAGAGGTGAGCATTTAAAAGCTCAAAGTTCGACGAACAGTGGCGGGGGGGACTTGAGGGAGCGCGAATGCGCTCAAGAGTGGGTGACGAAAGTTCCCCGAGGGAACGACGATCGATCAATCAAGGATCAACAAAGGCTCGCGCGTGTGTGCGACACGGAATGCTGCTTGGGATTTGTTTATTAATTCGCCCCTCGCGTTATCGGCAGACATCCGGATCGCTCCGGAGCACTTTCCTCGGCTGCCACTGATAAGTCGTGTGTTTTCGCACGCGAGCGGAGTGAGTTGGAAAAAGGCGTTTCGAGGAGACGCGTCGTGAAGTTTCCGGGATCGAGTAGCTGAAAGCTGATTAAAGCGGACTTGCGAATTATTCTCAAAGTGCGTGTCTTTGTTAATTGTTGCGATTTGAGATGCGATATGGTACTTTGCACACGCGTGAATCTCGACGACGACGAGTCTCTCGGCGCGCGCAACAAATCGACGTCGGTTATTATCGATAATACAAAGAGCGCGATATTAGTTCCCGTGAAGATAAGCGTTATCGATCATCTGCCCGATATTGCAGCGTGTTCACTCGTCGCAAGAACAACGTAACGTACACGCGACGCGCGCGGCTCTTGTCCGTGACAAAGGACGAATGAGACGATAAATAACGAGGGCGGGACACTTTTATGGGAAGACCGTCAAATTTGTACGCATCTCACCGCTCGCGATATCACCTCTCGATACTCGCGAGGAGGAACTTTAGAAGCGAAGCAGAAAATTGCATCGTTCTGCGCCGATAATATCTACGATCTGCTTTAAAAATGCAGGGCGATATTTTCAAACAAGTTTCCTATTTTGCGCTACTCTCTCCCTCCCCCTTCTCTCTCTCTCTCTCTCTCTCTCTCTCTCTATCTCACGAAGCTTTTCGACATTTTCCACAGTGGCCGAGATTGTGCAAACAAAGTCGAGGAAAAAAGGGAGAAAAAAAAAAGAAAAACGTACGCGTGCCGCAGCACGTAATATCACGTATTCGCACGGCTCGGCACCGTGGAAAAGCAGCCTTGACACAAACTGGCCTCAATGGGAATGAAAACAACGGTACTCCACTTCCCCTGACCCGCGCCCTCGCCCGCGCGCTTCTGCAACACGGAAGAAACTAGCGCGTAAAGTCTACCCTTCCTCCCTCGCTCCTCCGCTCCCTTTCACGTGTTCCTTCTGTCACTACAGCTATAGCTCTCCTTCTTTTTTCCCTCCGTTTCTCACTCCGACATGCATTGCGCTTGCATCACGATCGCGATTCATCGATCGATGGATGTGGATCGAAGCACGATCGAGCGCGGGCGAGTTGAAAAGATGAAGAAGAATTCGCTGTTTCGAGATAGAAAATTTAGTCGTCACGTTTAGAGCGACAAGCTGCTCACCTCGGCATTGCGGAAATTCATTGACACATTTCTTTTGCAGAGAGCTGTGTGACAGGGCATTGGAATTTTGTTGTCAAATATAATGAATAATTTGTCACAGATATTGATTTTGTTAGGAATTTTATTATTTCTCGGCATTTCCCGAAATAAATTACTATTTTATACATAATTTACTTGTTTTACGAATAATCAATTTACGCCGCCTTTAGAACACTGAAACAATTTCCTTTGTTTATAGGAATAAGAGAATTTTTAACGGAAACATCATTATTTTGGTATTTTACGGCAATAAATTGTTTACGAAATTTCATTTTGATTTGGGAAAGATACTTTTATCAAATTGCGCGCGCGCGTGTTTTTATCCTCTCAATTATATGCCAGTGAATTTTTATAAATATCATTATTTATGGATCAGCAGATTTTTAAATGCTTTATTACCCGAAATATTGGATTCTTAGATCCAAAGGTCCAAAAATTATAAATGTCCCATGATCTAAGAATGTATCATTTCAGAAAAATATATTACACTTCATTACTTTTACAAACGAATGTATGAATTTATTTATTGCGATGTATATATGATTTTAACATTTATACTTTCATAAATTCATATTCTTTTATGAAAGTTTGTACCTTGATATGGACATTTGTACAGGAACATCACCAGAATCCTTTTTACTACTGTGAGAACACCCAGAAATTAATAAAAATTATTATTACATAATTTTGTTTCAAATTTTCTGTTGCTACAACAGTTTTAATTGTTTTTATTTTTATTTATAAAACTTTTACTGCAAAACGCGTCTCTTATTAAAAAGAAAAAAGAACTTTTAATTGTATTTCTATATTATTCAGTTTTTCAATCATTCCGACTTGAACTACTCAATATTAAACTTTTGAGAATGTAATCTCTGTTAGATGACGTTAAATGACAATTATATCCATACAAGTAAACAAATAACTCTATTCAAACAAACGCCATTTTAAACATGCCATTTACGTAGATACTTTCTGCATACAATGTAACTTACAACACTCGCATATAGACATTAATACAATATTTTTAATAATTTTTATGATACGTCGCATATAGATAGAAATATAACTTCTTGTTCCCGGCAGGAACAAACTTAAAAGAAAACATTTTTAACCTACCTCTTGTATCGATCTAGGGATCTAAAGTGACAAGAATTCTGCACAACAGCCATCACCAGATGATAATAATAATGATAAAAGAATCATTTTCAGGAAGCTACAGGAAAGTAGTTCAAAGACTAAGAGGAGGAAAAAAGATCTTGGTGGCACCTCATATCAATCAAAGCGCCTATCGACTCGACCGACAAGCATCGCTAAATGATAACAGAAGAAAACAAGCGTGATTATTTCTTAGAAACAAAGGAAAAGAGATCCTACATTATACTCGGTATCGACCTAGGTGGTCGTCCAGGCCCTGACTCAGTCGACGACGGTCCGGCATCGACTAAATGGCCACAGGGAGACTCACATGTCTCAGCGGCTTTCGCATATATTCGCGTATGCGCTCGTCGCTCGGACCCTTTTCGGAACGGAATGTCACTTTCGCGGTACGACCACGTGATGAGAGCCTTCGCCGACTCGCTTTCCGCGAGTTTGCGGGGTGGTAATCCCCGTGATGACGTCTCGCCACCAGTACCCTCTGCGCGAGAGGGTGACATACGGGCGCGCAGGCGGTGTTGCCGCTCGTTCGCGCTGCTGTGGAGTGCAGCGCAAAGCGGGTTCATTGTCCCGCGTGCGCCCCGTGGTAGCGCCGTTTCCTCCCTTGAGCCGTTGTAATGTTGGCCGTCAGCGGCAGTGGCGTTCGTTTCTCTCTCTCTCTCTCTCTCTCCCTCTCTCTCTCTCTCTCTTCCTTCCTTTCTTGATGCACGCACGCGCATATACCCATCGCGCGCACACACACACACACACACACACACACCATACATACAACACACAGAAATGACAGCGTGTGTAACGCGGTCGCACACAGGCGACAAACTCCCCTCACACACACACATACACGCACACACATACATACCACACACCGACCGAGTACGTGTCGCAACTTACCAATTGTCCAGCTTGATCAGCTCCTCGGGTTTTTTCGTCTTCCGATCGGCTTTCAGACGTAACGCTTGCGGGTAAAGTTTGAGAACGTGTTCAAACTGCGCCGCGGTACCCTCCGCGAAGAAAGTCGCTGTGTCTTTCACGGAAGCCATTGCGATAACGCGGGCTTCGATCGACGGCCGTCGGGGCGCAGCACTAGCGCCGCCTGCTGCCGTTGCTCCGTAAAGCGCCGCGTCGTCCGCCGTTCCCGTTGCTACCGCCGCCGCTGTCGCTGCTGCTCGTTGTTACCACCACCACCGCCGCCGTCGCCGCCACCACCTCCACCACTACCACCACCACCACCGCCGCCGCCGCCGCCGCCACGAGCGGCGTTGCCGTGTCTCCTCGCCGCCTGCTCCTCGTCGAGGAATCTACTATACTTCACCCTCCGCGATTCCCTCACCAAGCGCGGCGCGAGTAAGCGCGGCGCGTGGGAAATCGATGACGGCTACGGTGTGGTGCGGTGCGAGACCGTAACGACGGCGGACGAGGTTGGCACTCTCGGTTCTCTCTCCACTTTCAACGTAAAGCGGAAAGAGAGAAACAGAGACGGACGAGCGGGCACTCACATAAAGAGTGTGTCCCGAGAGACGCGTGTACGTGTAACGGCAAGTTGGCAGGATGACAGGCACGAGAAAGTGTCAAGACACTCGCGAGACGTGTTCTCTCTCTCTCTCTTTCTCTTTCTCTCTCTCTCTCTCTCTCTCTCTCTCGCTGTCCTTGTCTCTACACGTGCTGATGATACGACGGACAGGCGTGCACCAAGTACACTGGTACGTACGTATAGATATCACGAACGTCCTCGACACTGCGCGACGTCTCCGTCGAGCGAAATCACACTATAAGAACTCGCTCTCGCACCTCGCTCGACACTGCTCGACACTCGGCCCGGGTGGGGAGCCGACGCGACGTTGCTAATAGGCGGCAGCACCGCTCGGGTTGTGCCTCTATCCCCCTCGTGACTGCGCCTCGCTCCCACCACGACGCCCGCGTCTGTCTCTTTCATGCACTCGCGCCAGTATCCCGTCTATCCCCTTCTCCTTTTTGCTCACCGCGGAATAAGTCTGTCACGCTTTCTCCGCCGAGTCGCTATCCGTTTATCTCGCTCCGCCTCTCTCTTGCTCGCTCTACCGGCGTCCGTATCTCTCCCACTCGATCGGCGATCGTTCCGTCTCTGTCGAGTTTTCTCGCGCGGCGTCCTCTCCTCTCGCTCTCTCGACTGCGTCGATGTGTATTCTCTTATGCGTGTGCCCTCTCTCTCTCTCTCTCTCTTTCTTTCTTTCTCTCGCTCGCTCTTTCTCCTCTCTCCCTCGGCTCGTCCCGCACGCACTTATAGGCTGCGAAATTCGGTCGAATCGCGCGGCGACGTGCCTTCGACACCTTGTGCGCTGTGCGTCGGAGAGGAGGCGTGGGGAGATTCAATGGAGAGGCTCCTTTCTCCGCGAGAGAACTGTGACGCGCTTCCTCTCTCTTCTTCTCACGGTGAAACGTTTCGTTTCTCGTCTCTCTTTCCTTCTCTCTCTCTCTCTCTCTCTCTCTTTCTCTACGTCCTTCCCTCTCTTTCTTTCTCTCTCTCTCTCTCGCTCACTCTTCCTTCAACAATAAGCCGTATCAATGCGACAGCTCTGTATCGCTGGTATCGCTTGTCGCGTGCGTATCGTACGTACATGCATTTGTCCGTCTGTCCGTCCGTTCGGCGGATGTCCGTGCGCAGTCTAACGTGAGATTTCGCGTGCTCGCTGCCACTTCACCCGACGCACGCACGTACGCGCGGCGCACGTAGCCACAGAGAGAGAGAGAAAACGGCGAGACTGGCGGATCGCGCTCCCCTCGCGCAGTGTCGTCCGTCGCGATCGGTCTTGCCTGTGTATTATCTGAAACTATCGCTAGCTCGAATTTACTCGTATCGCCTAACAGGCGCGTTTCCACGTAAGCCAAGAGACTGAGGTTACGTCGCGCGACGACCGTCTCATCGACGACGGAACCACGGGACACGGCGATTGGCCGAGCGCGGCTTCTCTTTCTCTCTCTCGGGCTCTCTCTTTCCTCTTTCTCTCTCCGCGCCTCATTCCCTCCCCATTTATATATCTCCCCCTCACTCGAGCGCGTTCCTCGCTCGATGACGATATTCCTCTTTCTTCACGGGAATATCGCGCGCCACGAACTCTTGCGATATATCGCGCGCCGATAATCACCGATACATCTCCGAATGCACTGCTCTCTATCACCTTTGCTCTCTCTCTCGGTCGGTGCGTGCTCTGTGGTGTGAGATGATATGCGCGCGCGCTCGCTCGCCTGGGCATGACGCGCGCGATGAGTGTGTGTGTATTGTGTGTGTGTGTGTGGCGCGTGTGTGTGTGGTGCGCGCGCAGGGCATCCACACATGGGCGCAAGTCTCTGTCTCGTCGGTGCTGCGAAAAACGGGAACACAGAGAAAACGCACGCAGCCAGCTAGCCAGTCGGCCAGCCAATCGTTCGTCTCATCGCGAGCGTGCGTGTGTATGATCGTAGTAACGCGACTGGCCGACTGGGGGCAGCGCCTCCGCTCACCGTCGCCCCGCCCCGGTCCCCGTCGCCCGGTGACCCGTTCCTGACGAGCGAACGAGCGAGCGAGCGAGCGAGCGAGCGAATATTCTCCCCTGGCCCCTCTTCTCGCTCCGCCAGTCGCCATGTCTCCGTCAGCTGCGCACTACACCCCTCTCCTTGAGTGCTACACTGGAGAAGCGGTGAGACGCAGCACCCAGGGATGAATAAAATAACACTTGATATTCACGTTGAATCTCACTGTTGCTTCGTATTACTTAGAGATGCGAAAGTACATCTAGTGCCATCGTTCGTCAAAGTTTTCCCCTGTCTGAGATTTGTCAAATTACAACATAACAGCAACATAGTTGTTGGATGCTCGATGAAACTTTGGAGTCGTTACATTGTTTGATATTGCGAAACGGACTAAACGATAAACGATGAACGATTGAGCACTGGAAAGTGTTTTCAAAATTTATACTCACGTAAAATTTTAGCACATTAATAATCCAAGCAAAGTTGTAACATTTTTTTGTTACTGTTGCTTTTGTTTATTTTTCGATCTTGCTTACATCTATTTTCTAGTAACTGATGGTAATCGGAACGAGAAATTGATATATATTAGAGAGAAAGGGAGAGAGCTTACATATTATATATACAAAGCGGATGTAATATTATACAGCAGAAGCCTCTCTCTCTCTCTTTCTCTCTCTTTCCAGGGACGCATCCTTTGTAACGGATGTCCCGCGACGAAATGCTCGACTGTTTCTGGCAGCCGCTTCAGATTCTCGGAGGGTAAATTTTACGCAGCTGCGTTCGGGTAGTACGCCGGTGTGCGCGTTTGTCAAGTTTCGCCGTCGCCGTCGTCGTCGTCGTCCGCTATAAGAGATAAAGACGTAGAGCGGCTAATGAGTCGAGTTCTTTTGGGACTGTCAGTAGAGCGTGCCAGAGGGCAATTTATCAAAACAACAGCATGCCGTATTTTATTGAAACTCCAAAGTTTGAAGCTCAAACTAATAGATCGATAGAGAAATGCGCTGATAACTTTGAAAATAATCTTCTCTCATAGAAGTATCGCAATTTCTTGTGAAAGGTCAAACACGCAATACGCAAGTTGGAAAGGTCAAAGATGCACACACACACACACACAACGCGGTGTAATTTTTAATAGAAAAATCAAGTTCGACAGAATGTGACTTTGGGCGCCGAGAAATTTTCTTAGTAATTTCTGAATCTCATTCCGAAATACCGAGATATAAATAAGTGTATGCGTAAAGTCCACTTCACGTGAGATATTGTATGTATTAAGAAAGTATAATTGAAAGCAAAATTTATGCGCCAAGTAATTATCGATGATTAATAATGTTCGAAAAGTTTAGACACAACGTGAGAGAAATTTCTGTCTAGTTCCCAAAACTTTTCTCTACCTGCCTGCGTACGCACCACGGCTATGTGTTGTGAAGCAGTCTAGACCTTCCTCCGAAATATTTGTTCGGGCCGTTGCTTACCGCGCACCCCATGAATCCTTCTGAGAGAGTCTGTTCTTTGAGCTGCACGGTCAAAGTTATAGTGGAGAAAAGGGCCGTAAATGCGAAGGGAACGTTCATTTCCTCAGGGCCGTCGCATTCACGCTCCCACGCCCCGTTCCTCGCTTGCGTGTTCGTTTCTCATTCTACTAGGGATGCGAATGAGTCTTATACCCGTATTCATAGTCAGGCCTTATATTTGAGGCCTCCTTATATCCATCTTTAGATGCTGCACGGATTCTTTTATTGGCTACAGACCATCTTAAGATAAACTTGAGGGAGTCTCAAATATAAGGCCTGACTATGAATATATTCGGGTGTTCGTCTTTTTCTTTTTTTTTAAGTTCTTGGGAAACTTATTTAAACGCGGAATATTTTCGTGTTTCATCATATTTTTGTCGTATGACACGAGGCAGCGATAATCATAACCTCGAAAAAGCTGTATCTTTAAACACGTGCAGATATTGGTTTAAATGTTTTCAAAACAGTAATTTCGACGTCAACAATCGATCGCGCTTTGAGAAACTACGAAAATTGGAAGTCGATGAATTGCAAACAGTGCTGCACGAGAACTCGGCGCAGACCCAAGAAGAACTTGCAGAGCAGCTAAGAGTCACACGACAGACCATTTCTACTTGAGATAGGAAAGATACAGAAGGCTGTGGAAAGTGGGTGCCGCATGAGCTCAGCGTACATAGTATCGGACAGCTCAACATATGCGTCTCGCTGTTTGCCAAGCTACGAAAGAAGGACTTTTTGTGGAAAATTGCCACTGACAACGGAAAGCGGATTATGTGCCGCAATCGCAAACGCAAATATTCATGTGTCAGTCCCGGAGAATAGTCTACATTAACCGCAAAACCAACCAGTCCAACAAGACCAAAAAGATCCTCTTTCGTATCTGGTAGGATATGAAGGGTATGCTCTATTATGAGCTGCTTCAAGCGGAGCAGACGTCGGTTAATGCGGACCGTTACAACAAACAATTAAACCACTTGGCTGAAGAAACCGAACAAGAAAGGCCATTTATTGGATAAGGGACACGGAAGATCATATCGCTGCATGACAACATTAGGCCAACACGTTGCTTCCGCAATTCAAAAGTCCATCTTAAGCTTGGGCCGAGAAGTTCTCCCGCACGCAGTGTACTTACCAGACTTGGCCCTTTCTCGGATTATCATCTGTTCCGGTCGATGCAGAACAGTCTAGTTGGACGTGCGC